GGACTGGAGCGGGCTCTGGACTGGGCTCTGTGAGCTCCCTGACTGGAGCGGGCCCTGGACTGGACTCTGTGAGCTCTGGGACTGGACTGGTCTCTGTGAGCTCCCGGACTGGAGCGGGCTCTGGACTGGACTCTGTGAGCTCTGGGACTGAAACGGGCTCCGGAGTGGGCTCAGTGAGCTCCCCGACTGGAGCGGGTTCCTGCATCTCCCGGGGCACTATAAGGGACTCAGACCGACATGAGATCACCAAGTTGCGGTAACCAAGATAATCAATGAGGCCCCAAAAGTCAAGCATTTTAAGCCCATCCATCTCCCGAGGAGGCACGGAATTGTCTAAACAATCATTAAGGATTTTCCTTAAGTCTGAGTCATGAAGTCCCATCCCTACCGCAAGGTTCCAAAAGGACTGAGCAAAACCTCCAATCTCCATCCCCCGTTGGCGAAGATCCGCCAACATCCGGAGCCGAGCCCTGTGCTCCTTCGAAGGAGGAGGAATAATCCGAACGTCCATGATCCACAAAAAGGTAACAAAAACAAACTGCTGGAACTGGTAATGGCGTCTTGATTCTGTCACGGAATGCCAGGAGAAAACAAGGGAGGTTCCAAGTGCAGTTTATTAGAAAGTAACAACATAACAAAACAGAACAGAACAAAAACGTTGCAAAAGGTAATCCAAAACCTGACCACAGAAAACACAAACTGAGAAGACAATACAATCAAGACGTAAATGACAGACAGAGAAAGCATGATATATATAGCTGGGATAATGAGTAAATGATGAACAGGTGTTACAGATCAGACCAGGATTAATGAACAGGGGACTATGGGAAATGGAGTTTAACACAAACAACATAGAACAGAAGAGCGCCCTCAAGTGACCAGTCCAGGGCACCACAACCAAACACTGTGACATTATTGTCCTCATTTGTAAGTCGCTTTGGATAAAAGCATCTGCTAAATGAATAAATGTAAATGTAAATGTACTGTTCATTGTTTTGGAGAGACTGGAATCATCTCAATGTGGAATTTGAATTAAAAAATGTTTAATTTAACTGAATTGTTAAATGAGTTTCCTGATTCAATCTCTAAAGAACACTATAAATAACTACAATAAATCTAAATGTACCTTTCCGTCCCAGCCGAGTGGCAGGTTTTTGGGGTTGTATATGATCTCATTATCTTCGTCTTCACTCTCACTCTCGCTGGGCTGCTCTTCATCCTCCTCGTCACGCTCCTCTCCTGTGCGCGCCTGCTTCCTCTGGACGTTCTCATGGGTCAGCTGCCTTTGCTCCTGCAACATCACTGCAGATAATTCACACCAACGTAGGGATATGCCGGTATCAAATTTTCATGTTGCGATTAATTGATATTGCTTTTATCCCGGTATGCGGTATTATCATGATATTGACATTTAGTTTTTTTTTTAAAGTGCTGTCATAATACAGTATAACAGGTTTAATAACATTTTTCTTATAACAAAAATAACTGAACATTTAAATGCAATAAAGCAATACAGAAAAATGATTAAAAGTTAAAAGTTTTTCACAGATTAAAGTGCAAAAGAACTATAAAGACCAACAGGTATCACTTTACAACAAGACCTCATTAGTTAACCTTAGTTAACGCATTAACATTCACAATGAGCAATAGCTACATTTGCTACAGAAGTTATTAATCTTTGTTTAAAAAAAAATACAAGTCTTAGTTCATGTTAGCTCATTAAATAACACAGTTGCAACTTTCGATTTTAACAACCTGTTATTAAATATTGGAATACCTAAGATTAATGAATGTTCAGAAGAATTTTTCATTGGCAGTTTATGTTAACTAATGAATTAACTAATGTTAACTAATGAGCCCTAATGTAAAGTGTGACTGAACAATAAAGAATCAAAACACTTTCAAACAATATCTAGGGCATGTTGTAGTCCAGATTCAAATGTAAAAAAATATTGAAAATAAATAGCCTATTAAGTCTAAATATTTGGCGTATTTGGCGCGGTGATGAACATCATAGCAAATACACAAATCTGAATGGCTGTTTAAATCATTTAAACACGATTCAGAAACAGAAAGTAGAGCAGCTGCTTTGTTTACAGGGTTTCCAGGGTAACGGCTGCATTTAAATGAATTATTATTATTTCTGCAGTTTAGCGTTATCTGCTGTCAGAGAGTGAAAGTGCGCTTTCCTCCAGAGCATCTCTTACATGTTCCGCCGTGCGCTTCTCGTCCACGCTTGTTTACATCAGAGTGCGCAAGCAGCATACAGCGGTGTTGTGCATTTTGACCAGTTGATGGGGAAAGTATTCTTAAAATGCATTCAAAATTCTGAATAATTCGTAATATATAATTATTCACGGTATTTAGAAGTGCCCACGATAACAATATCGTGCATATTCATTACCGTGATATAACGCATTACCGAATACTGGCACAAGTCTACACCAACGTATACTGCCCTTACATACTGAAGGGGATTTACTTAAAAATAACAAAAAGTAAACTAGATCTGAGAACACAATGCATGAGATACAGTTTCCCACAATTCAATGTGCTTGAATTTTCTTTTTCTAATGGAACAAATAAACACAGTGCTTATCATTTATCAGCTGCCAGCAGTGTTTAACATCTCTTCTTGGCTCATTATTTGATAGGACATATGTACATGTGGATTACAGATGATACATATATATATACTGCCTAATATATCAGACCCCTTCACAGATGCCATTGTAACGATTTAATCAATGGTATTCACTTCATCTCTCAGTGGTTTAAATGTTGTGGTAGTGTATATATTCAGTGTAAATATTTTGCAAATATTATAGTATAATGTGAAATGAGGAAACTAAATATAAAACTACAACAGGCAGAGTGCTTACCCCCAAAATCTCCACATATTCATAAATCTGAGCTTCAAGAAAAGCAGATTCCTTGTTGCGCTCCGAGTCTCTGCAGACACAAGACAAGTCAAAAGAACAAATGAAGAGTTTGTTTGCAAAAGTAATAAAAGTAATAACTTAAAACAAATACAGGTAACTTACAAAATAAAAGTTAATTGAAAGTATGTGTTTATATATTAAAAGTTTGTTTTATAGCAAAAGCAGATTACTCCACATTTCATGTTTCAGAGTTAAACAAAAACACTCGTTTAATCTTTGTAATCTCCTCAGCTGACAATGCAGACGCCTGACAAACATTGTTATGATCATTCAAACGTAATAAACACTTTTTTCTCACTTCTGCAGGACGTCGGCGTCGCGTGATCAGTGACAAATGAGGAGAGAGAACTAAACAAAACGCCGGTCACGAATTAGAAGCACAAAACTAGTATTTGTACAGAAAAATGTCAGAGGATTTCGATATAAGCCAAGAGGAGACTGGTTTTCCTTTGCTAAAGTAAGGAAACTTTGCTTCCTTTGCTCCTGTAACCAAACTCATGAGACTAGCATTTCTTAGAAGCGCGTGCTGCACATACGTCCTCCGTCATCCGCCGGAACGCCAGATAACAGATAACGGAAGTGAGAGAAACGTGTTTATTACCTTTGTAATATGGATATTTTTCTTACAAAAAAGCATGGATTCGCTACAGGAGGCCTTTATTCACCCCTCGGAGCCGTGTGAGGCAAGTTTTATTACAGATGCACGCACCTTATTTAACGTGTTTTGGACTGTTGAACAGAAACACCCGCCCACCGAGGGCGAGTAAAACACAGGCTAATTTTCATTTTTGGGTGAACTAACCCTTGAACAGCAGCCTTGTCACCTGACCTGAATACAGTGCACTGATTCGCTAAAATGGACTTATCGGCTTCTGTTCACAAACACCAAGGGCACTTGTTGGTTTCTTCTGTAAAACATGAACTCGCGATGCCTTGAAAGTGGACAATGCCGTCTTTTTTGACAAAACGTGTCTAGGGTTCAGATCGCGCTATATGCAGTGGCGTAGCGGACGGGCACACAGGGCACACACTGCAGGGGGGCCCCGCGATAAGACGATGGGGTGTGTTGAAAGATGATCATCATGTATCGATGATAGCCAGAGATATGTTCAAAAGCATTGAACATTGTCATTATTAAGAGTATTTGGCATTTCCAATTAATGTAAGCCTGTTAAATTCTGGCTATTATTAGGTTACTTTTATTATTAAATTAATATTACAATTAATTTGCTCCACAATAATTTCATAGCGCATCACCGCATAACTGACACGCTGTGAAAGGCCGGACACGGCATCACAGTATGGTGAGGGGCGTAACATTTCCGTCACACGCTTGAGGTATTCGGCCAATCACAACGCACTGGATAGCTGGCCAATCAGAGCACACCTCGCTTTTCAGACCGATGAGCTTTGTAAAAATCGACGTGTTTCAGAAAGGTGGGGCATAGAAGAGAAACAATAATGTACAGTATGTGGAAAATAATGTGTTTTTTTTTTTTTTACTTTAAACCGCATAAACACATTTCATTACACCAAATACACAAAATAATGTTATTTTTAGCAACATCATATGACCCCTTTAAAAATGTCTTTTAAAACAGATCTATTATATCCTACAATTAATTATAGGCCTATAGCCTAAATAAAATTGTTAACACTTTAGTCATCAATGAAACTTAAGAGCAGCTTTTTTTAAAGCATCGACTTTCAAAAACAAGCTGTTCAACATGAAATACGTTTATTCTCATTCATCTCCATGTTCGGGCCACAAGAGAAACTTTAAGGAAATAAATTAAAGCAGTTATAAACCGCATATTAAGCAGGAGATTCGTCTCTCGTCGTCTCAGAGAATTTGCGCCATTACTGCGTGCGACGTCAGATGCCGAAAGCGTCATCAGTTTTTACTTTCACTGTCATGGTGAAAGACGTTCAGCGGCATAAGTCTTGCACAAAGTTTGCACGTTGCTTGTATGATATCCACTGGCTCACCTTCACCGTTTAAAACAGAATTATTTCCAATATTGCTTGAGGTCTGTGGGGGGCCCCCACAGATTTGCACTACGCCACTGGCTTTATGTGGAGGATAATGCACGAATTGCACACCACTCAGTCCACTTTTTTTTTGCAAATGAACTCTTCAAATATTAACTTAGACAACACCAATTAAACAAAATAAATCTAATTTACATTTTACAGGCAAATAATGCATAAAAAGTAGGGCTTCATCACTTCAACACAAATCTTTTGTAAACAAGTCACTTGTTTCTGAACTAATTTATACCCGAATCCATTGTATTATACAGTTCATCAATTTCAAATAGGCTTACTTCTTTGGTCCTTTGGCTTTTGGGTTTTTGGCAAACAGTGAGGGGTCCAGAGACTCCAGAGATTTGCCTTTAGTGCTGAAGAGACGCTGGGCTCTCTCTTCTAGTGTGCTGCAAACAAAACACACACAAACAACACGTTTGGACATAGTGAAAGAAAAGAAAGAAAAAACAAACTGAAAAACAGTATTACATTGACATAAGAATTATTAACCTCTTAAGACCCAGCAAAACATTTTAGGAAATAATTAGTATTTTTCATGTCATTACATTGTTTACAGCATAAACATTTATTTTTTTTTTAATTAAAATTTAAATGATATTTCATTCATACGTTATGCTGCATCCTTGGTAGAGGACATCGGGACTCAATTTAAAAAAAATATATAGAAAGACATGAATGAACATGCATAGGCAAAAACAATAGATTTTTTTTTTTTAACCGTTCACAATTTATGTCTGTAAAATAATTGTTATTTTTCTTTTTTCCCCCAAATTCTTCAGTCCTAAAACACGAACCACATTGTGTGTGTGTGTAATTGGTAGTTATATGGATGCATGTTGTTTCTGGTCTGTGCTCTTGCAGGTATCTGGAGATGTTGCTGGAGTACCTGCAGGAATACACGGATCGGGTCAAGCCTCTGCTGGATCAGAATGAGCTCTACGGAAAGATCTTGGCAGAGTTTGAGAAGAAGTGGGAGAGTGGGATGTTTCCAGGCTGGCCGGTGGGTTTGTGCTTAAGAGACAACATTAATGAGTTTGAGAGTTTTGCTTTCAGCGGTGGCTGCATTTTTTCCAAACATACCAATATATTACCATTCATTGAGGTTAATATTCATCAGTGGTATAATAAAAAAATTATCATAGAAGAGATTTATAAAACGGAGAGTTCCGGTCCTTGATTCTGATTGGCTGAGCCGCGTTCGAATCTGTTGTAAATTACTCTACAAACACACACCTTTATTTACTTCTGTGAGTTGCTCGGCAGCCACAACTGTTTCTGAGGAACTACATTGTTTGGTGGAAGAATACTGTTTTTATTAATATCATTACACTTTATTTGCTCTGTTTTATTTTGTGAAACCTTACTACGTATATGGAATAACTGTTTTATAAAAGCAATAAGCCCCGTGAAGCCGTGGTTTACAGTGAATTTATAACAGCTAAGAGGCCTAACAACGCCCCTTGGCTGTTATAAATTCACTGTAAACCACAGCTTCTAGGGGCTTATTGCTGTATTCTATCATCCATTACATCTACATTGTCCTGCTGTCCTCTATTAAATGCATGTGAGCACATGAGGAATGAATGGAGGTGTTTTATAAATCTGTGTGTGCTACAGAAAGAGACGAGTAGTGCTCTGACTCACGCTGGAGCACATCTGGATCTGTCTGCCTTCTCTTCCTGGGAGGTTAGTTTGTCTCGCTCTCGTCTGTTAACAGTGTGACCCGCATGTTTTCCTAGTTAATCATGTTTTCATTAATAATTCTTATGTCAATGTGATGCTGTTTTTCAGTTAGTTTTTTTCTTTCTTTCTTTCACTACATTTGCAGTTATCACATCTGATTTCTCTGTCATTATGATGTATGGAGTGTAGATTGATGTGAATGAAAATAAAGGAGTTTAGCATTAGGCTGCAACATAAAATGTTGGGAAAAATGAAGGAGTCTGAATATATTTTAGTACAGTGACAGATGCCTACTGAAGTAAAACCATCTCACTATTTGATTTTATTGTACAGCAGGTTTAAAAAGTCTCCAGACTGGTTAAAAACACCCCTGAGCTTAAGTATTATGGCAAAGGTGTTCGCAAATGTTTGTTTTTGAGATGTGTTTGTGATATTTTGAATGCAGTGCTTCATTGTGCAAGAGATGTGAGACATTTTACATTTTGTGTGTGCAATTCTTGGATTTGTGTGTAAAGTTTTGAAAAAAAGAGGCAAAGTTTGGAAAATGTAAGCAGTTGAAAAAAAAAACCTAAGAAAAACTGTAATAACTAGATCGAAACCAATGTATGCTGGCTTGTCTTAAAGTCTTGTTTAAAAAACATAAATGTTTGGTCAGTTAGATGTTCTAGATGTTTGCTAAAGTGTTGCTAGTTGGTTGCTAGGATATTCTGGGTGGTTGCTAGGCTCTTGCTATGCAGTTGCTGGGGTGTTGCTAGAGTATATGGTTGCTAGAGTTTGTTCTGCGTGATTACAGACATCCCCACCTCTGTTAATAACAGAAAATCTAACATTGTTTTCAAAACTGATCCAGTTTCAGTGCTTTGATATTATTGTATTTCTTTCAAATGTTAGGAAATTCAAAGGTTTTTGTTGCTCTTAAATTTACACTAAACGTGATTTATACCATCTAAGTAGCCTATGCTATTTTAATAGAAGCGCATATCTTCTTTAGTGATACAAGCTCAGAAACATTTGTAACCTGTTGAAGTTTTTTATATTGTGTATTGACTTTGTGCCATGATGGATATTGAAATGTTATTTATTTTTCATGTTAAACAGTATAGATGATTACTTAATAGCAATACAATATTTGTGAACACAACTGTGTATGTCAGACCATAAATCCCCAAAACTATGCATGGGGGCTTGCTTTGGTGTTGCCACCCCTCATAGACCCCATGCCACCCCTTTGCCTCCCTAAAAAGATATTTAGAATTTTCTGAAAATCTCTAAAAATAGCTTTATTTATTTACCTTTAAACAAACATATTGATTATTATGTGCACTGCCTCTGAGACTCAACGACAGAACACAGGACACTGTACAGGATGGGCCCCTAAACAAGGACAAAAACCGGGAATGCCTTTTCCTGGGTGTTTACTGGAATAGTTAAATGGGACAGTGTTACAATAATCGTCTCTGCAAGCATATAAATCATTTGTAATCCACATTTACATATGTCCTATCAAATAATGAGCCAAGAAGAGATGTTAAACACTGCTGGCAGCTGATAAATGATAAGCATTGTGTTTATTTGTTCCATTAGAAACAGAAAATTCAAGCACATATAATTGTGGGAAACTGTATCTCATGCATTGTGTTCTCAGATCTAGTTTACTTTTTGTTGTTTTTAAGTAAATCCCCTTCACTATGTATTTTAGTGTTTTTCTCTTCTAATGCTCTTTTTTAATGAATGGTTTTGGTTTGGTGCCGTTGGTGTGAATTGTCTGCAGGGATGTTGCTGAAGCTGGTGTGTTTCGTTGTGTGCTGCAGGAGCAAAGGCAGCTGACCCATGAGAATGTCCAGAGGAAGCAGGCGCGCACAGGAGAGGAGCGTGACGAGGAGGATGAAGAGCAGCCCAGCGAGAGTGAGAGTGAAGACGAAGATAATGAGATCATATACAACCCCAAGAACCTGCCACCAAAACAATGAACAAATTTTAGTATTTTAACTCTTTACTATTTCACACATTCAGTATCACACAGCTCTAGTGTTAAAACACTTATAGTGTGTCATTAACCTTGTCTTTAGTTTGTCTTTAGCCGATTCCACACTGGCTGTACAAGCTGCACGGCCTGAACATCAATTACAATTACAATTAATTACACGTACAGAGGACCCAAAGCCTTCCAGAGACACTTTGCAGTAAGTTTGCAAGAAAAAATATTCTATGTAGCAGATGTAGCAGGATCTCAGTTTACAATGTAGTTAGTGATTTTACTGACTTTTCATGCAGTTTCCAGATGTTTTCTGGCTCCTTTACGTGGGTCTAATCATGCACTAATGAGAGATCTACTCTTAGACAAAAGACAAGATTGTTGCATGGAGCACAACATAGTATATCATTGAGCTTTACAGAATGTATTGAAAATATATAGAAACACAACCTACCATTTTAAACAATTTAAAAGTTGAGAAAAATGCCTATGAATTAATATTGTTGCATGTTAATAAATGACACAAAAGGGTCCTGTTCTGGAAAATGGTCCTAATGGTATCTGTCCTTGTGCTTAAAATGCATTTTTCTCTTTTCTCTGGAATAGTCTGGTCAAAGCTGAAGTCACAGAAAGCATTAGAGCGCTGGCAGCCAGACACAGAGGTGAGTTCTTCTCAAACACATTCAATAGTCTGACATTACGCTGAGTGAAGTCACATTCAGCTGTACAGCTCTCCTCTGACTGAAGCTTCTGCTTTAACCAGCGTTAATCAGCTGTTCAAACTCTGCTTCGGCTGCTTGATTTGTTCCTTTTGGAGAGAGATTAG